AATAGAATAGACATACTATTTCCCGATTCCTATATTTGTAAAGCAAGCTTGACCGCAGCTGAATGCATCTCTGATGGTTTACATGAGGTGAGCCCGGATCCGTCACAAGCAGGCTGCTCTGTGTCCGTAACGTTTTCGAAAGCTGGGAGGTTCTGCAAGGGTGTAGGCTGCGAACTTGAAAAGAGCCGGTGACAACTGGCATTCTAGACTCTTGAAGAAGAAGGCTTGTGATCGCGACTGCTTCGGATAGGTGCCGACGCGCATTGCTGCGTGTAACAAGTGATAGGCGAAGTTCAGCATGTTTCCCCGTCTCCGTGAAGAACTCATGAACAACACATGCCGTACATAGAGCCGATCATGTCGTTTGTCTCAGCAACAAGCTGGGCGAGCGAGTCCTCTCGAGTTGTACACTTTGCACCGAAACAGCGCAAGCTTCCATCGAACGGACGGCAAAGAGAAAAACAACCGCAATAGTGTAGTGGTAGCCGGAAAACAGCGACGACAAAGACGGGACATGCCACTTCGTCGAATCAGGAAGTAGCGAGTCACGAGTAGGCACAAGAGCTACTTGCACAACTGTTTCAAGCCGTCCTGGACAGAGGTTACGAGCATCCTGCCCACCAAAGTTGCTGCTTTTACGACTGATCACTGTTGCGAGTTCGTTGTTCACCGTGTTTTGCATAATCAGCATTAGTGCGGCTTTAAGCTTGGAACCAGAAAGCGGTCGCACCAAGATTCCTCATTTCCTCACTCGCATCGTAGCTTTAAACATGTCTGGCACTGCTGTCATATCTGAATGACAGTGAGGTCAGCATATAATGATAGCCTGAATAGCAGTATCCCTTTATGGCCCCTCTGCAACCTTTGTATAATATGCTCCGACACCGAATTTCGGATCATACCCTATAACTACTCTGCATATGCCCTCATAGAATCTTTGCAGTAGCGCTGGTCTAATCTAATTTGGATCGCCGGGCTTTTGTCTCGGAGAAAGCCTAAATAACCCAAGGAACCCGTAGCAGCGAAGAAGCCCTTGCCTTGCCCGATAGCCCTTGCAACACCCCGTATTTAAGTTGCTGCCCCTTCGTTGTTCCAACGCCTCCCTGCCCCCCAGGCCTCGAAGCCTTCGATGCGGCGCTGAAAAGGATTGCCTTCCCAATCCACGGCCTCACAGGATCCTACAAAGGCTGCTACACCGGGTTCTCGAAAACTCGGCAGTCTGTTAAGGAACTGGCATAACAAACGCAGCCGCTCTCTCAACAGGGGTGGCGGCAGGGGGGAGGCATAACATAAGGACTATAGCAGGGATTATTTGAACCTCTTTACAAACCTACAGTCATCACGAACTCCAGACTTACAAAGATGTGAGACAGAAGTCAGTCACTGTACTGTAGAGGCCATCACTTGCCTTACATTTTGTTGTAAACCACGTCGCGAAACCGTTGAGGATACACAAAATTACTAGTATTACTGCGTTACTTAGAACTCAGGCCCTACAAGCAGTAGAACTTCCAGGCATCCAGAAACCGATCATGATGACCTGTGGCTTGAGAACCAGCCGAGAATGAGGGAAGAACCCTCAAACAACTCAGGTTTCAATACAGTGTTGCAACATCGGTCGACAGTTTCGGCGCTCACACAAAGATTTGGGGTCCAACATCATCAAGATGCACCGATGCACCAAACGTTGAGAAACAGCTTTACAAAACCCCTACAACAGCACAGCCAACTTGCCTCGGCAACGACTCCGATTCACGATAGAACACAAGTCGCACATGAAACACAAAGCCTGAAGCTGGCCACAGGGTTGGAAGTTGCATTGAACTCAAATTGAGTTCTTGATGGAACGGAGCACGATCCATCTGCTCAGGACTGTCAAACTAGCAACTAGTTGGCGCTCCTCACCACATTAGTTAACAACAAGACTAACAAGACACTGCAAGTGACAGTCATATCGTCATATCAGAGCAAAGCCGATAAAGCGTGGCCCCCACAGCCCCCGTTGGATATTCTCACGCCAATTTTGGACGTAAGCTTCAGACGCGGACAGACCTCACTGGGCGATGCTTTGGCCCTTATCTATGCCCTGTCCGGATTGCAGCATCCCAGCATGAGCGTAACGGAGGGCCCAGGAACAAGTCGTCTTACATATCCATTGACTTGGGGAACCCGGACCTGGGTGCTGTTTGGAGGAAGCCGATATGGCGGAATGGCCACAGTTACCATGGCTAACCAGATTCTGGTAACCAGATATTAGCACGATCCTGCCACATCTGAAAGTTTGCCATGCTGCATCGGAGAAGCTTCAGGCGAACCTCCTAACTACAGAAGCAGTAGCAAAGAAGATTTCTGCAAGTAGAACCACCAACAGCTGTAGAAGCTGATCCGTCAAGAAGTGACGATCTGGCTGATACTCCGGTAGACAACTCTAAATTTCTTCCGCAATGAATCAAGCCCTTACAAACCCAACACTAAGATCGTAGACTCTTGCCCCTGAGCCGACTCCTGAAACCCCCAAAGTCTCAACGAGAAGCAGCGCTGCTACTCATGGAGAGCTCACGCTTCGCACAAGGGTCGCATGCCAGAAGGCCCTGGACTTCCTGGGCTTTTGGGGGAGTTTAGAGTTTCCAGGGTTTGGGGTTTCGGATCTAGGGTCTATAGAGTCTGGAGTCTAGGGCTTAGTAGCTTTGGCTTTGTGCTTCTCCGGGTAGCATTCGTGGGACAAAACACGAACAAACGGCATATAGGCTGCCAGGCTTGTGTAGCGGGTAGCACAATGACAGTAAGCGCAACTTACAGCATGAGCCACAAGAGTAGAGGGCAAGATCTTGCCATCGTGGTTGGGGCAAGAAGAAGACGAAGAGCAGCACGAACAATGGTCCAGTCACGCAGTTGGGCCTAAGGCTCTGTCTGCCTACATAAAAACTTGCTTAGGCCTTACAAAATTGCATGTTAAGGAACACCGTTAGAGCCAATGGGTATGTACATGAAGCGCCTTCGCGCCTGGGGTGAAGGATATCCAGAGATCGCTCCCCGAAGACCCACGAAGTATTCGTAGAAGCTGAATGATTCTGATTCTGCAAGGTCTTCGTGGCATCCCAGTAGTCTACCTGTATAGACCATAGCTGTTCCTTGCCTCCCGCCTAGCTATTCGTGTCTGCTTCCGGGAGAGCATGCTGTGTGGTTCTGCACAGGTTGGCTGTGCCATTGGATGGCGTGCATTCACACATAATGCGAAACTAGAGCAACTGTAACAACATAGATACAGTGGTGCAGCTGGTAGGAACTGGCAGACTGCAAATTGCAGCCACGGCAACACACAACGGCAAGCACATCACGGTGCCTCGAAACATTGAGCTTCGTTGGGTGTCGTGCATATAAACTCATGAAACGAAATAACACGGGTAAAACATTGACATGGTCGGAACCACAGACTGTGGAAGACACAGCATCCGGCATAAGCATGGGCCCTGCAAATGCTGCTGGTCTTGAACCTCATCCGGCTCTGTTTCTGTGAAAGAGAAGCCTCAATCGCCAACCACATAATTAGTAACTAGTATGGGCACACAACAGCTCAACAGTAACAACCTGATGTACAAGACGAAATCCAATCACCCCTCATTCATGTGTCCGAAGCATGAGCCGAAACTAAGGTAAGATGGTGAAGCCTCGGGCTCATGAAGCTCTGTAGGAATTCGACTGGCTCCTGACTAGGAGAGCTGCCATAGAGCTATGCATCTGAGGCTGCCTAAAGACCTGAAGTACCGGCCCCAGTCACCCCAACAAAAAGCCCTCATCATTGTCTCATCATTGCTGCACGAAGGGGGCTTCATATGAGTGGAGATTCAAACTATGCTTCTTATTGCAAGCTCCCACGTCCGAAACAGCACTTTGCTGCTCAAGCCTCTTCAGCGGTCGCACCCTTCGCGGCCAAGAGAGTTTCGCTTTTTGGTTCGGTTCTTTTACGGTTTTTCAGAGGGTTTACGGTTTGGGGCTTAAGGAACTCAGCGGAGCTTCGACTGATAGTCTCTGCTTCTCATCTGGCAGCTACTTTAGGAACTCGTGTGTGCGTGTTTCTTGGAACATTGGAGTTTCACGTGCTTGGCAAGTGTGCATGTCGCTGTTGTTTGTTTGCTCCAACTACCATGAGCCTTCTGACAAAGGAAACTACAGGAGGCGGGCGTAGCACCAGGAAACAAAGTGTGCAGTAGCATATCTGATTACCGAAACAAAAGCCGTTGCTTCTGGGCTTCTGGGGTTGTTGGGTTCAGGGCTCCGAAGCTCCGAAGTCTTTTTAGACAGAACCTCTTCAAAAGATCGCGGTTCTGCTGGTGAGACAAGGGATGCCGAAACCTAGCGTGGCTCTCCTTCAAGCGTGCGGCTCTGGTCTTGCAGGGTTTGGGGCTTAAGCGAGGAGGGGGTTTCGGGTTTCTGAGGCTTGCAGCTTTGCATCTCGGCCATGAGCACGCATGGGACTCTCGTCTGAGGCCACCATAGGGCCGTAGGGCCTTCTCCAGACAGGGAGAACGATTTTGAAACGGGTTTTCAGTCTCATGCAACACTCTGCATGCCAAGATTGCTGAAGGCAATCTGCTAGAACTCGAACGGTCGCCGTAGATTCGAGTGGAAATGTGAATATTTGGCATGCCCTGTGACAACACGAGACCGTTTGACGGCAACCAAATATGCGAGAAGATGACATGGAGGCTAGAAACGAAGCATTCTTCGCACACCGAGCTACCCAGGCATCTTCAGACTTGATACACAAGAGTCTCACATGCATCTGCACGCAAGATTCTGGGAGGGGCTTTGAACACCCGACTCCTTGACCACCAAGCGCTGCTACATGCAGCCGAAAACTGTTGCGGACACCTGAAAAGGAACTTGAAGCTTTGCTCTGCACCTCAACAACAAAAGCAGCACTTGATAACACGACTGTAAGGACATGATTATGGCAGCACGGAAGTGTCCAGGAAGATTTGCCATCACGGCCGGCCATCCTAACGGCCTTGATTGTTGCGAACTGGTGAGGGTTGATTGTTGCGAACCGGTGAGGGGAGTCTCTCACCGGACGTCTTATCCCATGGAGTTGTACCTCTGCTGAAGTTTCCAGGGGTGAGACCTTCGAGAATGTTCTCCGCACCCAAAGCAGATGCCATGAGACCGAGCCTCAGTCGACTATGACAAACGGCTTGTAGCTGCAAGTACATAGCAAATGCGCGCCACGAATCGTAGCGTACACGATGGTGGCGGTGTCGTGCTAGCAGAAGTCGTGTTGGTGGCCATGGTGGCAAATAGTAGTCGTGGTCGTCGAAGTAGAAGAAGAAGTAGTAGCAGTAGCAGTAGCAGTAGCAGTAGCAGTAGCAGTAGCTTTAGCTTTAGCAGTAGGAGTAGGGGTAGGAGTAGGAGTAGGAGTAGGAGTAGGGGTAGTAGTAGTAGTAGTAGTAGTAGTAGTAGTAGTAGTAGTAGTAGTAGTAGTGGTAGTGGTAGTGGTAGTGGTAGTGGTAGTGGTAGTGGTAGTGGTAGTGGTAGTGGTAGTGGTAGTGGTATGGTAGTGGTAGTGGTAGTGGTAGTGGTAGTAGTAGTAGTAGTAGTGGTAGTAGTGGTAGTGGTAGTCGTAGTAGTAGTAGTAGTAGTAGTAGTAGTAGTAGTAGTAGTAGTAGTAGTAGTAGTAGTAGTAGTAAGTAGTAGTAGTAGTAGTAGTAGTAGTAGTAGTAGTAGTAGTAGTAGTAGTAGTAGTAGTAGTAGTAGTAGCAGTAGTAGTAGTAGTAGTAGTAGTAGTAGTAGTAGTAGTAGTAGTAGTAGTAGTAGTAGTAGTAGTAGTAGTAGTAGTAGTAGTAGTAGTAGTAGTAGTAGTAATAGTCGTGAAAGGCGCAAGTAGCAAGTAGCAGAAGCAGGAGTAGTAGTAGTACTGTAGTAGCAGCAGCAGCAGCAGTCAGTAGTCGTCGTCGTGGTGGTAGCAGTAGCAGTAGCATAGCAGGAGCAGCTGCAGGAGCGCAGTAGCAGGCAGCAGCAGCAGCAGCACCAGCAGCAGAAGTAGAAGTAGAAGTAGTAGTAGTAGTAGTAGAAGTAGTAGTAGTAGTAGTAGTAGTAGTAGTAGTAGTAGTAGTAGTAGTAGTAGTAGTAGCAGTAGCAGTAGCAGTAGCAGTAGCAGCAGCAGCAGTAGTGGGACTAGGTCAGACCATTGAAACACACACAAGCATTGACATATACAAGTAAAACACAGAAAATAAATCGGCAGTAGACGAGCCGTATGCCCGAAACCGCTCCAATAAATGCAAAACCCCAAATATCCCGCAAAGCAAAACAAAACCTGCTGGGCCCAAGAGACAGATGGGAGAGCTGAAGTTCCACATGCCCTTGGCTTAGGCGCTTGAGATGTAGGGTTTCGGATGATGGGGTTAGGTTGCATCTAGCAGACTAACAAGGCTTTGTGAGATTTTGCGATGTGCGAGGCCTCGATTTACATAGTTGCTGGCCGGCGCACTGGCCAAAAAAAACAGCCTGCTAGAAGTATGCCAAGAATCCCTGGAACCTGCCGAAGTTCTTGATGAGCCAGTTCTGGTCGTGGATGAGCTTTCCGACCTCGCAGCGAGCAAAAACTTCAACAGCGGAAGCTGCAATCATACTTGTATCTAATGTCTGCTTCAGCTCAGGAAGGACATAACGGGACTTCAAACTCATCCATGAAAGTTCCTGGATAAGCCAGTCAAAGCAGTCATCAAACTACCTCATCATGCGCACACATGCAGACGGTGCAGAAAAAGGGCCGTGCGAGAAAACTTCAATCAATCACCGGGAACAGCTTTTGGCATGTCGGGGCTTGTTTTTTTTGTGGGGGGGGGGGGGGTGGGGTGCTACTTAACGAATCCATATCTGGAGGCTGAAGGATGATGACAAGATAATGGCTTTGCTCCCAACATGCATAACGAACTCGTCTGCCGAGGCGCATCAACGGCGCGTGCATTGCCTCGTAAACGCAAGCACCCCATCAAAAATTCGTCGATCTCGACCTCACCACCATTGTCCAAGTCCTGGGAACAAACAACCAAAGAACTATACATACGTGTTTACATACATACATAATCTTGCGTACATACATGATCACATACATACATGCATACAAGCGAACAAACACATATCAATACATACATGCGGACACACCTGCACAGGTACGGGTTTGTGTAACTACATGCTGGACTCACACACATTAGGACATTTTCTTTCGAGCTGATGTACTCACTTACACACCTACCTGGTCCGACCTACTTGATTGCTTACTTGTTTGCGTACTTACTGCATAAGTATTCGCTGCAGATGTTTTTTGCTTGCTAGCCCATAGACCTACACACAGATAAGTGCGTACCCAACCTTGCAAATGTGTAGTGGGTGTGCACATGTAAAGATTTGTATACAGTTCAAGATCAAAGAGAGAGCGTGGCTGAGCACATGGAAGTCTGTCCATGATCTTAAAGGGCATCTGCCTGTAGCATGCAGAATCTGATAGCCGAGCAGCTTCAATTAAGGCAAGAGTCCAACATCTTGAAGAAGCTCCATGCATCCCAAATATCGAGCCCAAGAGACTCGAAGTACTCTCTGACCTTAGGCTCCTGAATGGTCGACTCGAACCTCGGGTGAGCACTAGCTTTGCAGTTTGCACCGCTCCTGTCGATTATGACATTCCCGTAGTTTTGCGGCACTTTCTCAATGCCTTCCAGGGTTACTTCTCCATCCCGGCTAATGCAGCACATGGCGTATCGCAGCTTGCACTTCTTGGCGCTCTATTACACGGCATGTCGACAAACTCACCAAGGCTAAGGTCGAACTATCTGAATCCGCCCGGCACGATAACTCTACAACGCGCCGCCAACTGCTTTGAAATGATGCAGCGGCAGGCATGTTGCAAGACATTCGCTTATGATGTCGCGCAAGGCAGAGCCCGCAAGGCTTTGGCAAGAATGCTGGACGCTCGGAAACATTTGGAGCCGAGGCACATGGCGAATGTGATAGTATTACACTCCTCCGGGCACGAATCGTACGCGTACGACGGAAGTGCAAACTGCACTCCGATGAGACATGTCACTTGACTAAGCCCAACAAACAAACCTTAAATACCGGCAGCCCGGCAGCAACTACAGAGGTCCTCTCCACCGAACTGGCTGAAAAGCGCCCGGATCTTGTCCAGGTGCATTTCCTTCAAGATTTCGTTTTTACATTCAACCGGGACAAGACTAATGGTATGGCATCTCCTTGTTCTCGAGGATGGACTGGATCACCGAGGCTTGATCTTGTTGAGCGCTGTCGATAGCTGCTTGGCAGAAGACGGCTGTTACCTGAAAACCACAAAACAGAACTTGTAGACGATGACATTGACCATCACGAAGACGGGCAAGGCCAAAACAACGGCGCCGGAAAACCACTAAAACACAACATTGATGAAGGCACCCACTCCATCAAACTACTAAAGAGTTTCCGGAGGGCAACTGCCAAGGGCTGCAGCAGAACACTGCTGCAGACAAGAAGGGGCACGCAGTGATCCACCTCGCCTACTCGAAAATCACACGCGCGCATGCAGAGAGAGAGAGAGAGAGAGGGACAGAGAGAGAAAGAGAGAGAGAGAGAGAGAGAGCGAAAGAGCGAGAGAGTTGTCATGTATAGCTGTACATACACCCGAAGATCACGTGTGAGGGCAGAAAACGACAGGTACGGCACAGTGCAGCAAGGAACAATCCCGTGATGATCATGATGCCTACAGCTATGTTCAACTTTCTCGTGAGTGGGCCTGTAAGGATCATAATGTCGTTAGTGAGTGGAAGCACGCACGAGGCGTCATGACACCACTGACAATGCATGTGCATCACAAGTCTCCATGTCGCACGTTCATATAGACATCGAGTTCAATCAGAAACGAAGCCTTGAAGCCTTGCCAGCTGCGGTGCAAGATGCTACGTTTAACACTGCAAAGTAGGTGAAAGACACGTAAAATAGGAAGCAAAACTCCCAGGCCACGGAGATCTCCTGATCAGGGAAACAGCATTCGGCATGAAATGACATCTCCGGTCGATTCTGGGGTCTATACGGGTTACCATACAGAAGAGTGGCTGTGGGGCGTGTGGTTTTTCACAACACTGTTTTGACTGGCTTTGTCTGCTTCTAACCTGTTTGAGCGCGGGTGCTGTTCTGAACGTTCGCTGGGCATTGTTTGACGCAACGTCAGTCGCTACACTTGTGACTATGTGTCTTTTAAGATTGTGGTCAGTTGTTCGTTTGTCAGTTGTGTGTCCGTACGTGTTGGTATTTCCAGCTCCAATATCAACTCTGAATTCAGCCCATTGTTTCTGTATAAACTCACACGCATGCTGAAAAGGGGGTAGCCCTTTGTGTTGTGTTCCGACACCCTGACCCCACCACCACACCCACCACCGCCATCCACCCACCAAACAAAAAAACATGCACCTCACCTGACCGCAAATCTTGCTCGCTGACACGTTGGACATTTCTCACATGTCGGGCATAGATGGTTTAAACCAAGACCGTGTTTGAGAAAGTTATGAAACACTGGTGTTCACAGTGCTTTAATACGCATCTGGATCCGTATTAATCCGGACATCTGGTGTTACGGGGATGCTGTTGCTAAAGCCTCGCTTGGGAGATTTGTGGTCCACCATGCATGCCTTCCATCCTCCTCCCAGATATTCTGTTGTTGCACGTTAAAACACCATCGAAAAGTGCTAAAGAAGTGGGTTGGCCTGCTAGGAAGTAAGAGGATATTATCCGGCTCCATGAAGGACATGTCGAGTTAATGAGGCCCACCCCAGGACTTGGCCTGATAAACTCAGGAATGCACAACACTCGCAGGGTCTCCCGTCCGTGATAGTCGCTGCGAGAAGAACCCTGGATAAGTAACCACTGAAAATAGTGGAGCGGTACCTGTTGGCTTCCTACTATGCACGGGTTGAACCTGACATTGAATACATTACTCAGATATACGAGTACCTGCTACTCTGTGTTGTAGTGCTGTGTGTTCAGTGGAATTGTTTGGGCGTCGGAAGTTAACAGTGTCAACAAAGTGGGTTTGCAAACACAGCTGCTTGCAAATGAAATGTCCAGCTGTGCATCAATCACAATAGCAGGAAAGCATAAGTTATCTAGTCGTCCGAAACATCCGGCATCCTGATTTTCATCCGTGCCTCCAGCACATAGACGAGCTCACGCCAGTTCATTCCACCGGAGATAGCCATGAAGAGACTTAGCATGGTTCTCGGAACGGAGTTGAAATGACGTTCGGCCACCTGCCGGGCAATGCAATGCGGGCATTGACTCTGGGCATTTGGTCTCGGTGGCCCGGTTCGTCATACGCAAACGCACAGCAGCGCAACAGAACGGCTGGTTGTCCCGAAAATGCGGTTCCGCTGCGGCTGCGACGACGACTACTCCGACGACTAGCTGCTGGACTTCTTCATCAGCAAACTTCTGGCTGTAAGTTCTATCATACGGCAAAGACTGAAGAAGTGCTATTTCCATGAGGCCTGTAGCTTCTAGAAAGAATTGGGAGTATTCCAGTGCCAGAAGGCTGGAAATAAAATCGCCACGAAAAAGCCGATCTCTTCTTCGGAAACATGATCGTGATGATTCCAACGGTGGGAACGAGCGTTGGATTCAACCTGCTTCTAGGCCTACGCACAATGACAGAGATGCTATTTTAAATGTTGAGGAACTGCTTTCCAACTTTTGTGGCTCTGGTCCGGCCTCCTGCTGTGCCGCGGGCAAGTCCCCCTCAAGATGCTTATGCTCATGGACTGCGAACGAAAACCTGGCAGTCTTGTCGGCTTGAGCGGCAACGAAGATTGAATTTCGCCCTCTGTTCAGCCGCAGCACACAAGCCGCAAAGCGACACCATCTGGATCGAAAGTGCAGCCGTCAACTGTGCAAGACCATCCGAAACTGGTACTCATCTTCTGGAGGTAAAACTGACTTCAACCACGACGGCACTCCTTCGAATAGGTCCGAAGCAGGGAAGATAGTTGTAATACTGAAACCATGAGCCGGCATAACAACAAACAGCCTTGGGAGTGGAATCGACAACCGACGGCAACAAGATGCGTGAAGCAGCAGTAAACAGCAGCTAAGCGTGCTAACAAGTGGCCAACTTTGCTAATGTTACATATGGGGCTGCAAGAGCAGCAAATGCAGCAGAAGAGGTGGCAGCGGCAGTGGTCGCAGTCGTCGAAGTCTTAGTAGTAGTAGTAGTAGTAGTAGTAGTAGTAGTAGTAGTAGTAGTAGTAGTAGTAGTAGTAGTAGTAGTAGTGGTAGTAGTGCCAGTAGTAGCAGCAGTAGTAGTTAGTAGCTATAGTAGTAGCAGTTGTAGCGGTAGTAGTAGTAGTAGTAGTAGTAGTAGTAGTAGTAGTAGTAGTAGTAGTAGTAGGAGTAGTAGGTAGTAGCAATAGTAGTAGTAGTAGTAGTAGTAGTAGTAGTAGTAGTAGTAGTAGTAGTAGTAGTAGTAGTAGTAGTAGTAGTAGTAGTAGTAGTAGTAGTAGTAGGAAGTAGTAGTAGTAGTAGTAGTAGTAGTAGTAGTAGTAGTAGTAGTAGTAGTAGTAGTAGTAGTAGTGGTAGTCGTAGTAGTCGTAGTAGTAGTCGTAGTAGTAGTCGTAGTAGTAGTCGTAGTAGTAGTAGTAGTACTAGTACTAGTACTAGTACTAGTAGCAGTAGCAGCAGAGGCAGAGGCAGAGGCAGAAGCAGAAGTGGTGGAAGAAGTGGTTTTTTGGTTGTAGTAGTCGTCGTCGGGGGAGTAGTAATTAGTAATACCAGAACTAGGCATGTACACCTCTTGCCGCCCCGAAAGGTCGTGCATTTAAGTACGCATGTGACTGGCACTGTAGTTTCGGCACAAAGAAGCTTAGCAACAACTGTTTTCTGGCACATGCATGTGGTCATACTTTGCATGCGGGGGCATGGTAAGTGAGAGGCACAGCAATGCAAGACGAAAGGCAGTGGACAAACAACGAAATACAACGAATATAACGGAATCAACCCCCCCACCCCCCACCCCAAGCTTCAAAACCCAAACGATAACGAGGAAAAACAACTTTAACAATCCCAACAAAAGCACGAGCCAAGGTTTTGGCCATGGATGCTCTCCTCTTTCCCAATCGCAATCAATTTTGCAATTTTGATGTCATTAGGCTTTGGCCATGGATGGCTTGCCCCGAAGACAATTTCAACCTCGTCACCAAAACGAACACTTCCGCAAGAACACCGATGTGCAAAACCTACACGAAACGCGCGTTTCTGTCACGACAAAGGCCATGCGAACAACGGTCGCAAACCCCCTTGATGACCTCGCGCCGTTTTGCGCCCGACGAAGACAGCCGTAAATTACGGCATTTAAAAGGACCCCTCACTCTCCACCGCACAAAACGCAATCGACGACGCGAAAACAGCGCAAATACCCATGAATTTGGCTCCCTCCCGAATCTGGACATCCGACCCTCCCCGACCCCACCTGGGCGAAAGGTGCACAAATTTCGGGGCGTATATGGCTAGAACTAGTAACTAGTCGAAGCAGCAGCACGACTACGACCACGACTGCGGCTACTGAAGCTACTCCCTCTGTTCATCCCGCTGTAACAGCAACACCTCCCACTCCCGTAAACAATAGGATTATACGACGAGTTGTGGCAGCACATCTGCTGCAGTCCAAGTGCCAATGCTGCTGTTAGAACCGTAGAAGCCACGCGTCGAGAGAACAAGGCCAATGCATGTCAATACAGAGTTGAGTCTTGTTGAAACTCATTGCCTTCAACTGACTGCCAGTTTGAAACCGGAGGTTCAACCGACACGAGGTTGACGTTCAGCCACTCCGATTGAAGTAAAATTGTGCACTTTAGGTCACTACAGCCACAGAACCTCCTGAAGAATCATCGACTTGAGAATATCCGAGATACGAGACACCAAACACTTCCCAAGGCAGCTGAACCTCTCAAAAGAGCCCTGGCTTGAGCATCCAGGGTCAATACATCGAATGCCCAGCCCCCCCGCCACAACGGCCACCACCGTCACCAGCACAGCGACTGGGAACTCTAATCATGTCTACAAGAAGCTGTTTTTCTGCATAACTACCGCGACTGGTGCTACATGCTGCGACGCCTACAGAACTCCTGCTGCTTCTGCTGATGTCTACCTCCATTGTGAGTGCAACTGAAGCACACCAGCATCATGTCGAGAAGCAGTGTGGCAAAGACGTAGACGATGAGAATAAGCAAGACGAGGGCCCAGAACAAGGCCTTCAAGGTGTGGAAGATAGACATGACCAAGGTTCGCCTTCGCGGATGTGGCGCTACAAGTCGCTCCAAGCTGTCATCCAAGGTTCTGTTAGCAAAGGCTAAACTCTGAAATTTCAGGCAGGCAAGATAGCAGTAACCTAGACTGAAACAACTCCATTAATCGCTTCCCCCTAATAATTACAAACATCCTAATATAACAACACCCCCCCAGAATTTCGCGGTTTCGGGCCCAATAATGAAAGTTAGTTGAAAACACTAGGGGGGAAGGATTTGTACTAGTTTTACTAGTCAGACCGAAGAGACCAGAGCTTTAGGATTTAAGGGTTCAGGGCTCAGGGATCCGACTCATACCCGGATGCACCGAAACTGTCGCAATATGTTAAGACCACATTCCGGAAATCAATCTTCATATAATGGGGGGGCAGGAGACCCCCCAAATCCAACTGGAGCCGTCAGGTCCGGAACCTTAGAGCCCTCGGGCAAAGTTGTACTCGTCGAGCCAAGGCACAGGGCTGTCACAAAGCGTAATACCCGCACCACGCGAACAGCACGCAGAATACGAGCCACCCGGATTATGCGGAAAGCCCGCACGGAGGAGTTCGTGGAACCTGCATTTGGATCTGATATATGTGCTAGACTACGCATCCTGCTCCTGCGTATATGGGTCCTTTTTCCTCATAGTCAGGGGCACATTTTCGTTTGTTTCGTTGTCGGGTCCGGTGCCGCAGTCCCGTTCGTGCTCCACGCATATTTTGGGGTGCGATCGCGTGCCGTCACAGTATACTCCCGAAGTCATCCTCCCGCCCGCCCTTGTGCTGTGAGTGTTCTGGGGTGCCACCCGCGCTCCCATCAAAGTCTGATGTGCATTTTCAGCGCAGAGGTGCTTCTGGATTCGTTATTTCGCTCGCTCGTCTACTGTTTGGGTCCGACGCTGGAATAGCTTGCAAGTGGCTGGGGTGCAGCGGCTCCGGATGCTTGTGACACCGTGATACGCCGTGTAATCAAATGAGCATGTCATACAATCTAATCCAGCAGGGATACCTCCAAACCGTCATCCTGACTCCAACCCCGTGGCAGCCGGGCCTCTATCCCGGGTACACTGCAAACAAATTGACTAAGCAATCACTGACACGAACCCTAACGCCCTAAACAGTGGGATGTCGAAATCGGCTTTACGGGCATCCGTGAGGCAACTTCGCAGGGACTTGACTGTTGTGTTTTGCGCCATTGACATTCGAGGCATAGAATCACCCCCCACACCTACAAGCCCACGGCGACATGCATACCTAAAGAGCCAAGGTATCATGATTCCAGTCGAACCTATAGGACCCAGGTGGTCGATAGCAAGTAGAGTGAGAGAAGGCACGACGTCGCTGTGTTTGCATGCGTGTCAGTCTCTGTGTGTGTGTGTGTGTGTGTGTGTGTGTGTGCGTGTGTGGTGTGTGTGTGTGTGTGTATGTGTGTGTCTGTGTCTGTGTGCTCGCAGGCGTGCGTGCGCGTGCACGACACGTTGTGACGGGTTGCGACACCCTGACACGCAACTGCCTGTAGAAGAACATCTAAAAAGAGCGTCGGGCAATGTGCCAAAGCAGTGGCAACGGCCTATCCCTTCAAGCACCATGAGAAATAACAAGATGCATGATCTTGTCATCTACTGTTTGCCATAGTCTTCCATATGCAGCGACCCAGATGCTTGGATTAAGCAAAGGGCTGTCACCATCATCATGATGTGTAAGAAGATTGAAGTCATCGGTCAGCTGCAGCACGCCAGTGATGCAAATGGTGAGGTCCAACCAACCCCATATCCTTAGTACACGGCCAAGTAATCACGTGATAGACCGAAGCATGACACTCTTGACAACCCAGAGAGTCATGAAGCCATGTGTTACTGGCTGTTGAGGTTTTTTTGGCGTCTCTGGGCACAGACAGACGAACAAGTCAAACGCGTACCTCGCAGGAATCGAGCTTCCAATCGTCCGACCCACAGAAAACCTTTCTTCCATAGGCCAATACCCGCATTATGAGCTCGAAAATGAAAAGGGTGGTGAAGACCACAGTGACATAAAAGAAGTCCCAGCGCGCATCATCCGGATTGTCGATATAATACCTCGAAGGCGATCCAAGGATCACGCATCAAGGGGGTTCATTTCGGAAAGGTGTAAATCCCGGAAGGCCCTGAAGATCCCCAAAGCCGCCCTAAGCCACTAAACAGTCTTTTAAGTTTATCAAGGTGCTGGGTCTCAACGCCGATGAAGACGGCATTGGAAAGAATAATGAGGGTGAAGAACACCTCGAACGTGGTATCGAACTTTACAGTAATCAGGTGGCCCTCTTTCACGTGCTGCGGCCGGGACTAGTTCAAGACATCTGCCGCTTTGGGGCGTCTACATAAGATTATGCTCCGGACGTGTTTCAGCACTCACAACTGGGACATGCCTGGCGAGGTTCCTGGTATTTCCTGGTACACCGACAAAGGCACATTGGCCACGGGGCGGCGCAATCACCACTCCACTCACTAGCCCGAGCGATTTCACCCTGACCGACACACAGCAAACGCCAGGCACCTACTTGGTTTCGGCATCACATACGCACTTCTCTCGAGCCAGGTTCGCAATTCAAAAAAAATCACCTCCCTTGGAACTCGGCAGCTCAGAATCCATGCTTGCAGTGTGAAATCGCGTACCCCCGCCAGCGCCATGCAGATGATGAGTGTGCTTGGCAATCCCCAGTCCAGTTTGGTCGCATATTTCCGAGCAGCTGTGCCCACCCAGAACATGTCGGTTGTGTTTGATATTTCCTGTCTGCCAAGGGTCAGTTCTGATTCTGCACAGAATGATCAGTGGAGGCCTCTAACCTTATCTAAAGTTTTAAGTGGGTCGCAGGCACGCGTTGACAGGGTTCCGAAGCCGAACCCCATCCGATTATAAAGTTTTGTCTCGACCTCAATCCTCACACGAGCACCAGTGATTACACAACAGTGAGAACAGCAATTAGTTAAATACTCGTCTTAGATCAGTCTCAGAGTCTGAATGAGCCACTGCCTTGGCACTACTCAAAACATCCAGAAACTCGACACTAAGACATGCCCCTGCGAAGTCGACATGGACACCGAAGCCACACCGAAACCAGAAGGCCTCGAACAAGGGATGCTCGCAGATTGTGACGGGGAGGGGTGTTCTCGCACGGCCAGGCTCCTGAGCTTCATGGTTCAATGAAGTCTTCGACTCAAACTCGTGAGGCGGGTATGCTGTGTAAACAAGACTGAGAAACAGGACTATGATGATGCCCAATCTCTGGCTGACCAGGGAGCATCTCCTGCCTTGTCCGATGCGCTTCGGCAGCCACTCGCCGCATGGCACGATCGACAGCAGAGAAGCTCTTGAGGAACCTGCGCCGGCCTGTTCTCTGCGCCGGCTTCTCCGAGCCTCTTCTTGGCTTGAGGCTGAGTGCCTTTACCACATCCCCGTCCCCTCCCGCAGCCGCAGCTGACCGGGCACTGTCCACGGACTGCACAGAACACTGCGACGGCCGTCTTTCTCTTACGGGAGGCAGGTTGGGCTGCACGAGACTGAACTCGAAGGGAGCCCGGGCTTTGGAGCGGAGGCCCTCAAGCATTTCGGTGTGGGCTGCAAGCTGCATCATGATCTCCTTGTGTTGTTGCATCAACATCAGCTGCAAGTCGCGGCCGATGTCGTCGGCATGCAGCCCCACTGACATCGCGACGCCGGGGCTTGCTGGGGAAGAGTGCGGCAGCCTGCGGGGGTCAAACCAGACGTAGCAAGCATCACCACAAGTACTGTACTCTGGCGACACGGAACCTTTCCAAAACTGTGCCTTTCAGGAGCTGAAGCTTCTTCTGGAAGTGCAAACGTCGTCTCACGGTCGCCCTCCGTTTCGAGAACGACTCCGTCGGCGTCTCCCTTCCTGTCGCAAGACGGGCTCAAAAACCGTCGTATGTGTGCCCGGCATACTTGGCTCCGTGTGTGTGAGTGTGTGCGTGTGTGTTACCAGGTCATAAATAAACTAAACTCGAAGCGGGCTAACGGACCGGGACGGTAACGGGGGCGGTCCGAATCAACGACATACCCTTCCATGCACTTTCAGACGTACTCATGTGCCTGCCGGTACTTAATAGAGTAAGATATTAAGACTCAATTCGCGCGTGGGTGGTGACAGAGCTGACATGTTTCTGCATCGGCAGACAGGTACAGTCAAGAAAGCGAGTCATGACGAGAATGCAAGTATGGTAATTACTGAACCCTTCGAATTCATTCATGTAGCTCGATAACTCCAACTAACTCACAAGGTTGTTAGTTCATGGGCCCGGCAGCTTGACTGTGTGAGCGAAGGGTGAGAGTTTGTTTTTGGTTGTTCGTTCTCGCATGTGTGTGTGTGTGCGCACTTGCACACGCTCCTGCTTGGGGTAAATACGCACAGTTCAAACTTTCACATGCAAGCCTAGCGCACAAGAAGGAACGTATAAACAAACAAGATTAACGAACACTTCCACAAATGTCCACACACACACACATGTGTGTGTGTGTGTGTGCACGTGTATGCGTGCGTGCGTGCGTGCGTGCGTGTGTGTGTGTGTGTGTGTGTGTGTGTGTGTGTGTGTGTGTGTGTGTGTGTGTGTGTGTGTTTTTTTAACTGACAGACTGACGGCCCAGAGATGGAGATGTCGGTAGGGGGAGGAGAGAGAAAGGGAGGAGAGAGAGAAAGACAGAGAAAGATAGAGAGAGAGAGAGAGAGAGAGAGAGAAGATGCTGCATTTGCACGTGGATTGGTGCAGCATGCGTTACTTCCTCAGTGGTCCTGCTACTTGATATGCATAGAAAACAATTCTAGGAGGATAAACTTACAGGGAAAGGGAGAGGGGCTACATCCTTAGACGTTGCTCTGGCGGTTTCTTGCTGAATCTAGCACGGCGAAACGAGGTCTCTACGCACCAATCCCAGCATATGAGCCTTGCACCTAGCAGCTGGAACTCCTAGAAAGGCCGACAACAAACATGAAGTGCAGAATTTGATCCTGGTGTATCACAGAATCTCCTCACGAGTGCTGCCAGGTCTCGGATGAGAAATAAAGGAGGAATCCATGGAGTGCTGCATCATGATCCGGGGTGCTAGACATGACTTGAGCCAAGAGCACCTCAAGGAATCGCTGCAAGCATTTATCCAGGACTGGAAAGACGGGTCAACAAATGCCGCCCTGGACATGCAGGAGGCATATGCTTGGACTATCTGAAAATCACGGGGCTGCTGCAAAGAGGACCCCGATCCAGGACCCACCCGGAAGAAATGGCTTCACCCTTCTGCCTCACGGATTTGATCGCGTCTCCGAGCTGAGAATGGGACGAGAAAGCCCCCAGGAGTCGAGGGTTGCGTAAGCTTTCTCGTGTTCACGATACGGTGTAGGTATCGGGGTTTAAGTATCAGCGTTATTCATTAGCAATCCTACAGCCCTATCCCTGGACCGTCGTAGGGGTCCCCAAAGAACAGCAAACTTACAACGTCCCCGGCGAACTGAGACGGGCCAAACTCCTCAACCCCGGCGATGTCGACAACTCTCCCACCCGCTTAGCCGATGTCACGCGGCACGAAATGCACTGCGTTTGAAGGATGTGCAAGTCCGATGCAAATGTTCGGGAAGCAGGTAATTAATATATAGAGTCTAAGTCTAGGGACACATGCGCATCGAACCATCGCGAATCACGAGCTTGGTCTGCCATGGTCTGCTCCTGCCTTCGGGTCCTCCCAGGACAACGCGTCTTTCCATCGCTCCTCCCAGCCTTCTATCCACTCCTGGCCGACGAGGACATTATTAAACATAAGCCGAGCGAAACCCCCTAACCCCACCGTAAACGCTATAAGATCCGGCTTTGACACCAACGGCTGCGCATCAAGGTCTACTAGGCCGAGGGTTTATTAATCGCTGCCTGAACCACGATAGCCCCCGCGATTTCCAGCTTGCGTACTGTTGGATGTCCAAATGTCCGGTGATGCTGGTTTTCAACTGGTGTCGGTTTTCGATCTTCATTATCGGATTGGAGCTATGATAACAAAACGTCCACTTACCCTTCAAGCCTTTTAGGCCTTGTAGAAGCCATATTAGAACAGGCTTACCAAAACATTTAGGAACCCTCGAAATTCTAGAACCGCCACTGCCACTGATCGCGCGCTGAGACTCAAGGCTTTCTGGATTGCGATTCTCTTTCCTCGGAGGAGAGCATGCTTAAAGCTCAAAGAACGGGGGGGGTTCGGCTTTAGGGTTGACCTTTTTGCTGCAGGCTTGCTTGCAAGGACGCCTGGTAGTTTGCCGCTCTTCCGCCAGTTAGGACTGTGCTCGTGACAGTGCCCCTAGCTTCTGAGCATGCGACTGACCTTGAACTGCCTAATTATCCTTTTTTGTAGTTTCTTATGACAAACCCCAATATGGTAGGTATGGGGTCGTCTACAGGGACCGTACAAAACAACGAAACAAATAGGCGCTGGACCACCCTCTCAAAACAATGGCCTTTTTTACTATCTTCCACATCAACTTTTCCAGCAACACTTCTCATCATGGCCTGTGCTCTCGCAGTTCTTGTCCTAGCGCTGATCAGCAGCTGTAAGATACAGCGAACCAATAATACAAGCTTCGGTGGGACACTTCAGCACCGAATTCGACGTTGAGGAACTTGTTCACTCCGGGTTTGGGATAAGGGGTTCGTGCCACTCGAGAGCCCGGAAGAATAGGGGATGACTGCCAAGCATCAGGAACTCGTACGCAAGCTCCACCTCTGACTCCAGGTTGAACTCAGGGTGCGCATTTCCAATCTCCACATACCTCAATCAGGCTTTAGGGTTTTATCACTCATAGCTTGGCGAAACGCGGGAGGGATGAATGCATGACGGCCCACACTAATTAAGGTGCAGGGTGAAGGATTAGCTTCGTGAGTGCAGCAAGACTGAGCCGAAGAACACCAGGGCCTCACAAATGGGAAGATTTCCGAGATCTCTCGTCTGGCTCAGGTCTCCGGCTAAGGACCCCCGTTCTTGGAGCTGTAGAAACTGCCTTGGAAAAACCCTTCCTGATTCATTGCATTTGGTTGGTTGTCGTCAAGTACAGTTAAACTGAGAGTGTCCCTTTTGTTGGGTCGTTTTAGCTCAGGGCGTGTTCGCTTCCTACTTCGCAAGGAGGCAGGGTATGTATGGTCGTTTAGGATCCTATATAGGTTAATTCCTGAGCTTTACACTGCAAGCAGGAACTCCAAACCCTTTGTCTAGACCACTATATAATTTAATACCATCGCAAGCTGCTTTTCTGTAAATTAACCTTGCATCCCTTTTGCTGCAGGCTTGCTTGCAAGGACGCCTGGTAGTGAAATGCCAAAAAACCCTTGTACCTAGAACCCGCCTATAATCCTCCTGACGTTCATGAAAGGCCTTTACATATTCAAAAGCAAACTCGAGCCGTAGCCAGAGGTGCGCGGAGGGCCGAAATGGCATCCGAGCCTTAACGTACAGGGCCCGATGAGCAGGCACCAAGTAGACCTCCCAGGGGTTTGATTAGGCTATCGTGTCTTGCAGACCCCTGGCTCTCCTCCTCTCTCTCTCTCTCGCTCCTTGCTTCCTTCCTTGCTTCCTTCCTTCCGAAGAGCTTAGGGCTTAGGGTGCATAAGGTACACACAGACCCCACTCTCTCTCCCTCTCTCCCTCTCTCCCTCTCTTGCTCTGTTGCTCTCTCTCTCTCTCTCTCTCTCTCTCTCTCTCTCTCTCTCTCTCACTATGCACCATCTCTGCAATGCCAAACGCCTCACCCAGGCAAGCCCGATGCCGCAACCCCTCGATTCCTGTGACTGAGACCCAGGCGATCCACACGAACATCTGCACGCCAAAGGCAAAGTACCTGAGATTCGGGGCTCGGGATTGAGAAGCTTAGTACTCTGGGGATCTCCTGTAAACCCTCAACCACAACAATAGCAAGGATCGTTTCAGGGATAGGGCCTGCCATTGGGAAGCAGGGGCTTCGCGTGCTCGCAACGCGCCACCAGCCCTCTGGAAAACCTAATATAGGAGTCTTAGGAGGGTTTGTATAAAAACCATCGTTGAAGGCCTAATAATCTAATGGGCATCTAGAAACACAGTGGAGTCTATACTCACGCATTGCAAGGAATCCGATCGTCACCGGCAAGTTGCAAGATGCCGGCCAGCGCACTCAGGTATGCTTCTCGCGAGCCGAAGATATAGAACTGGTTGCACATTTTGGCCATCATGGGAGATGACAACACCCAGGAAGCCCAAATCAAGCAGGAAGCCTGGAATTGCGGGATGGGGCTGCAGGCCTTTACTACTGACGTTGAGTGACATCGGCGAGGATTGTCCTCCAAAATGCTTACAGAATACCCATGCCAAGTGTTAACGGTAGCTGTGCGACAACGGATAGCCAAAGTCAGCAATGACGTCTCTAGAGGAAGCAGTATGAGTGAGTGGGATGGTGGGTGCTGCGGTACGGGGTGATCCACAGACCAGTGCAAGGACGGCGGCATCCAGTTCGGTGAAGGGTTCTTCGGCTAAGCCGCCAAAGCTCGGAACTGGCTTCCCCGCAAGTCTCATCACCAAACTGCCCGAAAGCTGGAGGTGCGCCCAATTAACGAAGACGTCCCTTCCGCTAGAGCTGGCAAGCGGCGAGAAAGACAACCCAAGTCACCCTCACTGCGAGGTTCATGCGGGGGGAGTGATACCTCACCACGTGGATCGCAGAGCTTGACTGTAAAAAATGCTGGCCCTTTAGTCAGATAAACGGGCATCGTGCTGCGCAGTACACACGATGCGCATAATCACATCCCGTCTCAAAGCTAGCGTTTCCACTCATGGAACATGTCACGACTTGGGACTACATAGTGTTCAGAGCATGGTTCCGTCAGGGTGTTATTTTTAGGACGGTCTGTCAGGTTAAGGGCCGAGGGTCAATGAAAATAGCGGTGGCCACAGGGATGACGCTGATAAGGACATTTACTGGCGGGGTTGCAAACGAAGAAGCTTCTCGCATTTCACTCAGGGCTCATCAAAGCTCCAGCGTGGGGGTGTGTGGGGGTGTTGGGGGCACACGTATAAGTAGATTAGTTGCTACGAGGGGCCTGAGGAGATACAACTACCACTCAAACCATGCCAGCGTACTCCCAAAGCTCAGGTCTCGGGCGCATAGCCATCCAGTCGATGGGCAGGGACCTGAGGCGTTCCGGCAACTTTAAAGTCAGCTTCCAGGCAAGCAGTGTCCAAATCATGCCCAGGTCAGAATCACACCTCCACCATGCCCTTATCCTTCCTTCTAGATTTCTGGCATGAGCCATAAGTGCCTCTAGCACCGCATGCATCTCCTGTTATCCGTTGCCGATGGCATTCCAGATCGATGGGTTTCCCGAGCGTGGCGTGTCGTCGCAATGGTGGCGCGAAGCAGATCCCATGAGGGTTTGCGTTCGGGGCAGCATTGCAATCGAGAGAAAGCTGGGAAAGAACTGCCATGCTATCCACGCAATGCATAACGGCTATAATGATCGCCACATCGAACGAAATCCAACTCGAAACACCTCGGACATGTTCACTCCAAGCAGCTGCACCAGTCGGAAAATGAGGAAAGCTGGAAAGCACCAAATGGCGGCCATGACGAGAGCCTTATAGTCCGACGGGCATACAGCTCATGCACCAACTAACAGCTCGAGACCGCCAGTTTGCAGGGGTACCCAGTTTCAAGAGGGAGCCGCACAAGTGCGAGCCCAGCTTCTCCTGATCTCGGTGAGGAATGAAACGTGAATCTTCAGAATGCCAAGCGATGGTCTACACAGGATACTTCTGAGTTCTGGCATCTCTGTAGCGAAAGTTCTTGCCGGCAAGGCTCAAGCAGCACATTCAAGACCCAGCCGCCGGCTGACGTGTTCAGGATCAGCTCGATGGATCTGATATGCAAGGTCCGAACATTCAACGTCGGGGCTTAGGGTAGCTTCGGGCTTAGGGTAGCTGCATTGGCCCAGACTGAGATCTTAGGGTTTCGTGACTCTTCCGATGTGGGGACTGGTTTGCATGACGGTGAATGCCGCGATAAGCAATGGAGGCGGCTCTCGATAACTTCTACATACTGCCGGACTGCACGCTGAAGCGAAACATTCTCGCCCAGAGGATATTTGGCCAACCTCTCCTTCGTACTGCGAAAACGTTCTTGCCCAGGTTGCTTACCATTGCAAGTCGCCCGAGTGACGGTTCTGCCAAGGCATCGATCAAGGTATGACGATGGTGGGGTCAGGAAGTCTTCTCCTTCCTTCGCTTGCTAATGCTACTTCAATTCTGGTATAACCTTCGCTGCTACACCAGCGTTCAGTATCCTGCTCCGCATACCCTGCCTCGCAGAAACCGGACCGATGCCGATGCCAACACAAATGGATACAACCTCAGGCTTTACCAAGGCCAAGGGTTAAGTCGGGTCAGGGCAGTCCATGCCTTACTGAGACTTTTTGTGCTGGCTATATGGCTATATGAGACTCGTTCGGCACTTTTTGCTGGGGCGAGGCACCTCACAAAGATCCTACGTCTGAACGCAGTGGAATCCGCCTGAGTCTAGGCACCTCGGGTACTCCTGCTACAGTCTGGGCACCCAGAAATAGGCTCAAGTTACGAGTGGGACATAACTTGAACTGACAGCTAAGAACAACAGAAAGACTGTTTGTAATTGTGAAGGCAGTTTGAAAAGGAAGCCGTGCCCACCGAATGGCTTCGCTATTATTGAAACTAAGCCGCGGGTTGATAATTATTCCATTACAGTACATTCTTGTCATGATAAATTAGTATGAACGGTGGCCGCCACGGAGCTCCCAGAAACACCACATAGCACAGGACCTGGTGACAGGCATAGACGCCTCGCAGCTGATCGATGTTGAGCTGGTCATACCACGCCTGCTCGAACCACTGTTGGGGCTGCAGACTTGTGGCTGATCAGGCCCGTTCGGTTCCTTGCGGCATAATGCAGGCCTCCAGGTTCAGGCTTCATGTGCGTTTTGACCATGCTCATGATGGCTGGCAAAAGGGACACACGGTGTTCTTGCTCTTCGTTCACATGTCTGAGGAGCTGAACAATTCAATCGCTCGAGAATGCAGGGCGGAGGATTAGACCAGATATCCTGCAAACACTAAATGGATGAATGGAATTCAATGGATATCAAGGTTCTTTCTTTCTGTTTTGGTTCCATGGTCTGAAAACCAAGCTGGAGCTCCCAACGAATACTGCACCAGCGAGATTCGAGTGCTGCGCACTAAACCTGGCGCCCAGCCTCACACCCTTAAACTCCGAAACGAAAAGCCCTAAACCCTAAACCCTGAACCCTAAACCAAAATTACTATTCTTCTTATTATTGTTGCTGTACTACTATTATAGTATTATTTAGGCATGCGGAAGACCAACGGCTCGAAGAAATCCACCGACGTACTGGCATTGGTTCATTCGGCAAGATTCGGCCATTTGTGATCGTTGAGGACTCCTGCTGCGGTCGTCGTCTCAATATGTCGGGTCTTGAGATCTGACTATATTCATGGATGTTGGATATCATCACGAACAGTTTCCAGCGCTACGCGTGGGTGTACTACCGCCCGTAATTCGATACCCTTCCTCTCAATGGCCTCTGCATGATAGCCGCATGCCGAGCTGACGAGCAGAGTTCCAGTGCTCCTCGGCATGGTATGTCTTTCCCAAGCACACCCGTGTCAAACACATATTGGCAGAATGTAGCGGGAAACCAACTCCACCTGCGCAAACACAACATGTCAAACAGAACAATACACCCTGCAGAAGCATCGGCTGATTCACCCTCCCTGCGGACTGAGGCTCACCCCGTTGGATTTGTTCACCAGGCGGTAGGGTGCATCATACCTGGAAATATTCAATGTCAATGCGTGGAAACGACAACTACACTACGACACTTCGAGGCACCACTCTCGCACTGTCTTTCGACGAAGGTGTGTGCAAGCACGCAGCCCTAATCGTTCAAGGTACGCGACTGCAGGAAAGCAGTTCGCGGCTACACTCTGCACAAGGCCGGAGCAGTTAACAAATCGACGGCAGCGAACAGCAACATCAGGCCAATATGGGCCAGGACTGCATATCGTGCAGGACAACGTGAGCACAGAACAAAACGCGTGTGACGAAAAACTGAGATGATAACTAGTGGGAACGAATTCGTGTTACTTCGCCGTGCGATGTTGGCACCGTGAAGCGCTTGCTCCTGGCTGTGTGGGTCTGGTGCATGTGGTGGAAACTTTGCACTGGGCGTTCCAGGATCTTAGTGCAGGCCAAAGAAGTTCAGCAAACAGCATCAGCGATGCTTAATCGAGCCTCTCCGATTTTGCTCCAAAGCATTATGGGTAGAACATGACAGCAGTCTGGTCAGCACAGGAAGACGAAAAAGTGCGAAGCTGGCTCTCTGAATGTCGGACGAGTTGCTGCTGGTAGTACAAGTAGTCGCCAACGAGGGGGGCTCGATGGACATTTTCCAACTTCCTAAGATGTTTCTGGAATTGGGCCCATATCACAAGACTTCGGTGCTCGCCGTCTTTACCTATTTTATTTGCTCGCCTCAGCATGCCGGCTGCCCACACAAACTTAAACAAAGAAGCCAAGTCAGCTGCAGCAGCAAACCTCGAGATGCTGCAAATGAAAGCACGAGAGCCTGTTACGCCGTCCCAAAGTCCCAACATTTCAAGATATTGCAAGACCAGACTTCGCACTACCTATTAACGTATACCTGCAAGATACCCGCATACCGTCATGTGGGTGTTGAACTTGCAGGGGGGATGCAACAATTCTCGGAAAAACGCGTGGCACGAAATTTGTTGCAGTGCTGTGTGGATGTCTCGCTATGAAGGGCACCCGATACAATGAACCATACGTCCTGTTACTGCTACTCCTTGAACCTTGTCACCTTACAGAACCCTTGATGCCGACTCCTGTGTTGCTTCCAGGCTCGGAGCTGGACGAGCTAACAACGACCTTACGAACTGTGTTATACTGTAACATATTTATATTTGTATATACATATATATATATATACATACATGCATTACACACCCAGTTGCTGAGATGCCTGGCGGAAAACCAGATTAACTCAGCTAACTCAGCTGGATAGAGAGATAGATAAACAATAATACAGACACATACTTACATACATGCATGCATACATGCACACTTGTGGTATTTCCAGTGTATACATACATACATATGTAGAAGGTACACCCAACCATCGTCGAATGATGCCTGGTCCGCACCATAACCAAAGCCGAAGTAACTGCCGAAGCCTGAATTGAAGAAGATTTCTCCGAGAGGCCGTACGGCCGTGATAAACAGCAAGCATGGTGTGCCAATGGCAAAGATGGACTCAAGCTCCGGTAGGACGTAGTAGCAGGCACACTCACCTAAGGTGAGCAGAGCCGAGGAAGCATGTCGGATTCGTACAACTCCACTGGTTTGGTTCGGACGCGCCAATACAGGGGCGTTCACAACCGGAAGTGGGGCCCTATAAAAGATGTGAGCCAGCCTACACACGAAGAGTCAAAGATCACGCACCATGTACGCCGCGAACATACCAGGACGATCACGAGCCCGAACAGAAAGACGACCAGGACCACCAGCACGACCACGACGACGACCAACGACGAAGACCGCCATCTTTTCCACGACCATCAGGACCACCACCATAACCACCACAACCGGACCATGACGCCGGTGGCGGCAACACCCTCAAAATGGTTCCCAACGTGCCGGCGGGAGTAAAGACCTCAGGGCTCGAGATGTGGCCGTGCCAGGGTTTGAGAGGAGCACACGGTCGATCCCGACCGGCCAAGTAGCGTTGGCCCTGCTGTAGGATTTCCGAGGGTTTCGATCCATGTATCGGAATGTGCAATGAATCGCGCGTGGGCGTTGCGCCTGCGGATGCACCTCCGCCCGACAACTGACAGATACCTGCTACTCCGAACTTAAGAACCCCATGGTCCAACTACACTGCTCCGGAAAGAAGCCTTATTGAGGGATGGACATACCTCTTATTACCAAGTGTGACGACGCGCAAATTGCAGTACCAGTATGGGGCCTATCTGACATCCCGAGCACAGGTCCCCACGAGGCGTCAAAGAAGGATAGCAGGTAATGTAGGAACCCGATTTAGAAATCCTGGGCCTATTACCTCAAAATAGTAGGGTTCATACAAGGAACCCTAATAAAGGCCCAAGGTTTCTGAAATTAATCAGGTTCCTACATTAGGTCATGGTACGAACGGCTTGACGGTATAGATGAGCTGCTGACAAGCAAGTACATACTGATGCAGAGCTACTTGTGAACCTTGGGACTTCAATAGCACATTCCCCTCTGTGTATTGCATGCAGGAGTTACATCGCATTATCGTCAGGATGGGGCCAGGACAGTGCAGACAGTCAATTAGAGCCCCCGGGAACCTTGCCTGCTTTCGCGCCTCTACCGGCAAGCATGCAATTTCGCTGTCTACCACATTCAATCAAAGCCACAATCCACAAACTATACACCCGGAAGCCCCGCACTCGGAAGGCACGGAAGCCGTTGCTATTCAGGCTCTAGCAGCCATTCCCCATGGGGGACAAGAACACCTCCACAGCTCCCATGCCTGGCTGTCTTGGTCGCAGTAGGGTTTTGGGACACCGGTTTTTTCCCTCCTACCTAGCAAGGACGAGGCCTGCATTGGAGCGTAACTTCGAGTCAACAATTGAAGACAGCTTCACTCGTGGAAGCTAATTAGGACCCCTAGTCAAGGCAGCTTGATGGCCCAGATCACGAGGTTAGCTCATCATCTTACGAGTATCTTAGATGATCGTCAGAAAGATCCCAGAGCAACAACATGCCACAGTAAGCTCTCTCCCAAGGACATGGACACAGGGTTTGGAATTGAGGGGTTTCGGAAATTTAAGGACGAGGGGTTTAATGAGAACTGTCACAGAGGCGCTGCCGTGAACTGCAAAAACTCTGTAAAAAACAGACAGCCTAATCCCACCAGATCTTCAACCAGGTCAACATGTTAAGCTTCTGCATGGGAATAATCTGTGCTTTTCGAAATCAGCAGATTTGGGCATCTGCAGGTTTTCAGTGAATCCACAAGCGAGGATCAAGCACCCCGATCGACTCCACCACAAGGGCAAAAGTAAAACGGCAAACTTGCAAGGTGCCCCAGAAGCCGCCACTGTGCTGAGACACTTTTCGCGACCCGAAACTCTTTTGACTTCGGTCGGACTTGCTCCCATATTCTAGCCGTGCAAACGACATCTCCCACAGTCATCAGCCTACCGGCAGAAGAAACATAAGGCATCCAGCCCTCCTGCGACACCCCACTCCAGCATTAGGCTTTGTAAGTTTAGCATGCACAGTTACTACGGTTACTACGGATTTTCGTCGCTGCAGCGATACTGCTACTACTGGCAGCAGGTATCATGATTACAAAATTCGCGTGGATCCAACTCTGCCAGGAAGGCTCCAGAGGAAGGCGGCGCACACAGCCAGAAGATGAAAAAACGTAGACACCAAGCCTTCCATCGTACTGCAGATTCTTCTCTAGGGAGTCGAGGGCTCGATGTTTGTACGCCGGCTTACATCAAGATTTTGACTGCTGTTCCAAGATCTCTTACCGCAACCAGCGTCACCACATGTCACGACACCTGCTTCACGAGAACTTCTGCTACGACCTACGTCGTCCTATGCTAAGTTACTACGACGAGGGGGAGGCGGAGGAGGAGCACGACGACGGCCACTGCAGGGCGTAGTATGACCGCCAGTGCTTACTCCTGCGACTACAGCTGCTGCTACTCTGTCACTGCCACTGACATGCCCAAAAAGTCGCCCAAAGCCTATTCGCAGAGTTGTGTACTCGTGCGCCCCAGCAAGCAGCAGCCAATCGTGAAGGATCCTGGAAACTATTGCGGCAAACACTGTTAGCATCGCGGACTCGTAGCAAAACCACCTTTGCACCAACCTCAAGCACCGCCGCCACAGCCACGACGACAACCACAGAACAACACAACGACAACGACAACCACAACAACAGCGGAAACAACAGCAACAGCAACAACACCACCAACACCAACACCACGACCACGATCACGACCACCACCAACAACAAAAGCAGCAGCAACTGCAGAAACAACAGCCACTGCAGCAACAACAGCAACAGTCAACAACAAGGACCAACCAGCAACAACAACAACATCAATAGCAACAGAAACAGCAATAGCAACGACAACAACAACCACCACGTCCTCCCAGTACCTGCACTAGTCCTAGTCCTAGTTTCGGTTCTGGTGCTACAACCACAACAACTACTACAACAACTGCTTCTACTACTACTACTACTACTACTACTACTTCTACTTTTTGTCACCCACCTGTTTTTTTCTCCTCCTCATAGCCTACGCATAAACTATAGGATTTGGGGCACATGACTTGTGGAACTATGCCAATAAGTTCCGCACTCTGGCGTCAGGTCAAGGCTGCAAAGCATTGTTACGACCTAGCCTAGCTCACATTGGGGAAGGGTCGCTAAGCCCTCTACCACTGCTACGCCAAACTGCGCAGCAACCCCTGTGTCCACTGACGTCGTTTTCTTAAGCGTAAGGTTCTGCGCACAGCAGACTGTCCATGCCTAGCTCAAGGACGAATGTCAGGTGGTCGCACACAGCAACCAGGACTCAGATGTTTGTTTGGTTTTGCGTATATGTGGGTTGGTAGTGTTGCCCCCGGGCGCGGGCCGAGGCCCGCGGAAAAGTTACAGAAGGGATAGGAAAAGTCAAAAGCACCCGTTGTCGGATGCAGCTGGGAGTTCGAAATCAGCTCTGAGCTCCTTGATGAGACGCGTGCACGCGCTCACAGTGTCCGGGCAATTGCGGATAGCAAAAAGCTGACCAGCGACCGAGTCGTTGATTCGGGACAGCTGTGCTTCCGTAAGTCTGCCATCAGCATCTCCGCGAAACAAGCAGGACACCCTGTGAAAGAGCTTTGCCAAGTTGTCATAGCGGCAAGTCCAGACGCCTTTCTTCTTATAATAAAGGTGCGAGAGAGTGCTTATGGGTTTCCCCTCAGTAGCATCTCCCCACTGCTCGGCTGGTTTGCCAGACTGGTCAAGCTTCAAAATAGTCCCGACAATCGGATAAAAGGCCGGAGATGAACTCGAGGAGTTCAAGCCGTCGTCTCCAGTGGCCTTCCTAGCAGACTTGTCATCACGGACGATATCATCTATCTGAGCGAAACTCAAGCACTCAAGGCTCTCGGCAGAGTCGATACTCTGTGCTTTCATAATCTGAGCAGCCTGAATACCAATCACGCGCTCCGTAGAATTCTTATTCGTCGTGATGCATTGGCCGGACGTGGTCATGCCGTATCTGCATGCTTCCCAAACGTTGCTACCCGTACATACGATGGTAGCACTGCAGCAAAAGCCGCTGATGAGGCTCAAGAACCTGTGCGTTCTAGTGTAAGCCCTGGCCAAGCGGACTTCCCAAGCTGACCAAAAGGAGCATGCAGAGACGCTCAAATCCCAACCCGATGCATCGCTGTAATACACGCGGCCTTCATCACTCTTCGACAGGAGATACTCGAGATCCCTGTACGTTCTCTGGAGTGACGAATCGTCATGACCGGTGCCCACTGCTAGTGGGAACAACGCACCTTTGTCGGATTGGTGCAGCAACACATCCCCGTGGTCGGAGTCTGTGTGCAAAGAGCACGCCAACAGACGATCGGGTTCAGAAACATTCCAAATCAGACGCCAGGCTTCTTCCTCCGCTTTCTTGGGCCCGTGGCCCTCGTTCTTCACGAAGGTGCAGATGGGGTCATTAAGACCGTAGCGAACCATCTCTACTGGCGTCAGCTTGTGCAAGTGTCTGAACCAAGCACACCTCACCAAAAGACGAACTTTGCAGACTGCGATAAGCTGCTTCACCCTGTCGGGGTGCTTTCGTAAGTTCTCCCTTTTGCCAGGCGACCAATGTGCTGACCATCCTATGGCTTTGTCTTCAGCAGCCGTCAAATGACGGATGAGAACGGTGCGCACCGTATCCGTCGCTCCTTGCCAGGGACTTGTAGTGACCTCTGACGCTAAGCGTTGCGCAATCCGTTTCATCAAGTGCCTAGCCTTTGTGTGGGGCTGAGGAGACACTTGCTTGCCTGATTGTGCTCTCAACGAAACGATTTGAGCTTTCTCAGTTGTGGGCGGCTCGACAAATTGCAGACTCTTCCCCAACTCCTGTGCGATCTTGGTAGTGGTCTTAGACATCACTTTCGCAGCGGCGGAGTGAAATCTGCGCGATGGCTTCTGCGGTTCATCGTTGCCAGGTGCTTTGGGCAACGGTTTCGCGCATCCGGCTTTGCGGAAAATAACGGATCCATCTGCGCCGACCATCTTGTCGTCGCACTCTGTGAAATTCAGCTCTCCGTAGGACCTATAATCCTCAAACAAAGCCCACTCTGGCTGCGAAGTGATCGCAGTCAACGGAACGTTGTAGAGAACAGTCAAATCCTCAAAGACTCCGTCATCTGACAAGAATCTCTTGAGAGCTGCGTCTCTCACAGATTTCTCCACACAATATTTTCCGTTCTCGTCCAAATTGGACAATTGCATAGAACGTGCACGAATGGTGGAGTCAGGAGTGAAAACACTGTCTTTATAAAAAGGCTTGGAACTCCTTTGGTTTCCACTAGCCTCAATGTCGGCTGCCACAGCAGCTGTTGCACTCTCCGAGCCTCCCGTGCTCGAAGAGGTTTCTTCTCCTACGTAAAAGGCAGGCAACGCGACCGCATCCAAAACAAATGCTGGCTGGTCTGTGTATTGCTTTGGCCTACCTTTAAAATGTTTGACGAAAACCCTGCCATCGGACGAAGCATGACCTTCTGACCATGTCACGATGAAAGTGTGAGGGCGTCCATCAGAATCAAACTCAAGAAAGTTGCCTCCATCAAAATTCCATTTGGATTTCTGTCCAAGGTACACTCCAAGAGGGTTGAAAACCCTCACGTCATTGGAGTCGTCTACAAAGACGCTGACCTCAGACATGATCACCTGGCCATCGGTTGACAACGGCAGCTCAAGAAGAGCTTTCTGAAGCTCATAAAAGTCGCCGGTGACGACCCACTTTGCTCCGTGTGGAGCTAAAGAGGCCAGATCGTCAGGCAGCTCTTCAGGAGGCACAACAGTAGCCCATGGAGCTTCACGATCAAGCTCGTGAACCGACCGGACTCCCTCGCAAGGGCTGTCTTTGTCCGGCAAGGCGTACTCCTCAGTGGCTTCTTCCACGGCATCCGTGAAGCTTGCCTCCACGACGACGCACTCATCATCGTCGTACATGTCTGCCCATCGATCGCTGTCTTCGTAGCGCCTAGTGGGAAGCTGAGTCTCAAGAGTACTACTACTACTACTACTACTACTACTACTACTACTACTACTACTACTACCACTACCACCACCACTACTACTACTACTACTACTACTACTACTACTACTACGACCGCTACTGCTGCTACTATTGCTACTACTGCTAATGCTACCGCCGCTGCTGCTGCTACTACTACTACTACTGCTGCTAATGCTACTGCTACTGCGACTGCTACTACGACTACTACAACGACTACTACAACTAGTACTACTACTACTACTGCTGCTGCTGCTGCTACTACTACTACTACTACTAAACTCCTACTACTGCTACTACTTGTTACTACTACTACTACTACTACTACTACTACTACTACTACTACTCCTGCTGCTGCTGCTGCTGCTACTGCTACTGCTACTGCTAACAATCGGCTGCCACCACTTCCACCACCACGTCGACGACTACTGTGACTCCTGCCACTTGCTTCCTGGCTATCTGGTACCACTGCTGCCTATGGTCGTGACTAGAGCTACTACTGCTACGACCACGTGACTTCTGACCACTGAGACTGATTTGGAGGCTCTCGCTATTACCTCCATAGCCCTCGGGGTGGGGTGTCACGTTCGTTCCATGTCGTGTCAATGACAAAGGCTAATGTCAACAGTGACCACGTCAGCATGTCATTGACCAAGAAGCAACATGAAAGCCAAAGGGCACTGACATGCTTAGTCACCTACAACGTCAAAGCTTTGAAGAGAAAGTCAAGTATTCTGGGGCGGATTCACGACACTTCGACTTAAGCGCGTGCAGCAACTAAGCTTGGGACTGCAAAATTGGCAGGGAAGGCTGGACTGACATCGGAGAACACGTAATACATCTGCAAACCGTTCTGTCTGAAGTTCAAAAACGGGTTTAGGGTAAACATAAACACATCTCTCGGGCTCTCGAGGCTCGGGCAAAAGCCAGCAAGTACGGTAGTAACACGTCATTACATCATTTAAACAAGAAGCCCAGGCTTTGACCATGATTATTTTCGCTATTCCTACATGTTTAACGAAAATTCTTGTTGACTTTTTCCAAGCATCTTGGAAAGCCACCAGCCACCGATGCACCAGACATACGCATGACGGGAGCGAGAGTTGTGCAGCGGGTTGATAATGCCTCGCGCTACGCAGCAACGACTTGTCGGGCTCTGCAGCAGAAGGCTATCGGCATTCTGGGCAGTGGAAATCTGATTGCGACAATGTTTCTTTTCTTCTCATCATTGTCAAAGTTACTCTTGTTCTTCAGAGTATACTGTGTGACAATGCCTCACACTACATATGCTGCACGCCAGTCTGTAGTCTATACGGTACCGCATTTTCCGTACGCTGTTGAGGGTTTGCTTGTTAGCTACCCGATCCCGCCTGTATTGCGAAAATAGGTTCAACCTGCGCCCCTGGATCGGGGAACGTGTTCGATGTGTTGCTTCAGCCGATTGAAGTTTTAACCGGTAGAATCCACCTAAGAACCCAACATCACAAAACCGGCTTCAAGATTGCTCTGCCAAATCCCTAGACTTGGACGTTGGAGCTCTGCAATTGGCGAAAGTTTAATCGCCCCGATTTAACTGTAACGGGTTGAACCTGTGCTAATTGGGAGAGCTCCGGAAGGCAAGTCACCAGCAGGTAGATCCGTGGATGGGCAGGTCAACTATAAATAAAAATATGAATGTGTGTGTGTACATATATATATATATATATAGGTTCTTATGAACATATGATGTTGCAACACATACATACAGACTTGCTAACCTTCTTCCTTCCTTCCTTACATAGTTGCTAATGTCATAATAGACTGACATAACCTGACAGATTGATCATCGCTCCTTTGACCGGTGAGCGAGGCATGTCTACTTTCAGAGCTACATGTCCTCAAGCAGCTGAAAGCCTGCGACCACATAATGTCAGTGTCCGCAAACATGGAAACTAAAGTGTCTCTACAAAGCGCAGCTCAGCTACTATGTCGGGCTGCTTCTCCGTTGCATTCCTGCTGCATCTGCCGCAAGGAGAAGGACCTGTCGCACGCTTACGCCGGATCCGTTCCCAAGCACTATAAGCTGACGCAATTCCTGGGAAACTCCTTGGCCGGACAAAGCCGCAAACACCTTTTGGCCTGACGCCAAAGCAGCAGAAAACCTACTATGACAATTCGAGCACCAATTCCAAACCGCGACCATACAGCAGCTAGAGATTCAAGTGAGAGGGATCAGCCTCTCCAACCTTTGCCTACGTTTCCACCATTACTGTACTTTGCTCTTCACAAGTTTGTAAAGAATCCTCAACTACAAGCGCATGCCAAGGAACGGGCAAAGGGGCTCCAGAAAGTTGTGGCTGAGCCTGCTGTGATTGGTGTCTCCATTTCGAACCTCGGACGTCTTCCAAGCAGGAGAATCTTATCTTCATGCAGAACCCTATAAACCCTAAAGCACCAGCCACAACACTAAACACTCAGGTCTTGGCTGACACGTTCTCTGCGCATGCTCAATTCTGAGCAACTGAGTACTGACGCAATCGCAAATTTCTTTCCCGTCTACGCAGATAGGCGTAGACCTGGGTTCTTGTCAACTGAGGCGGCGGCCACGGCGAACACCTCGAGGGGATGTGGGCACAAAACACCATCTTAACTTTCTAATTCTAGAGGCTTAGTCTTGTCCAGCGTTCCTGGTGTTGTACGGACGACCCTCCCGGCACGGCTCGAGCCAGAGCCTAAGGCAGCTTTGCGCCCTTAATGCATTTCCTCGACGTGAGATCTGTGAAACCTGAACCGAAGGCGCAGCCCCAACCCTGGCTGAAGTAGGGCAGGGAATACGGATACGACAAATATTAAACTGGTGTAGACTCACCAGGGATTTCCCATTAGGTTTCTCCTTGCACCTTTATTCTCCATACATTTTCGTGGCACACCGATTTGATGCTCGGTGTTGTGAGTAACGGCTACCCCCTAGAAGAACCCGGGATCAAGGGTCTAGGTATGTCGGTCAAGGCAGCCTCTGAAACGGAGCTCCGGCTCAGGATATTATTACTATTACTATTATTAATACTATTGTTATTATGATTAATATTATTACTATTATCTTCAGGGTCAGGCTGTACCATACTGAACCAGGGCGCATCCTCCCAGCTCCGATCAAAGGTTGTGGGCACCATGCCGCTTCCGAAGATCTTGATGAAGGTGCAAGCCCTGGGTTCGATACTACTTAGGGCTTCAGATCTTTGGGGCTGCACACTGCTTACAGCATTCAACGTCTTGTGTAACTATAGTGTAATTGGTCTTGATCTGATAGGGCCGATAGGGATGTAAAGCGTTTGATTGGATGAGGCCCAAGGCCCCACACTCAAACTGAGCTTGATGAAGTTGCACGGTATGTTCTGGGTCCCGCCAGGGTATGGGGTTGCGGGGGATCTGGCTTTGCTCCGTGGAGACCAAGAACAACATGTCCAGAGCCCAAGAACCTCAACACCTCCCTGAACCCTAAACCCCAAAAATCTTGTCTACGACTCACTGTGACTCGTTTGACTTTCGATTCAGAGCCAGGGAAAGGCAGAAAGTTTCCCGAAACGCCGGTGATGAGTCTCTTCTTGACAAGAATATGTATGTTTTGTTAGGCTGGCAGGGGTGGGCGGGTGTAACCCCACAGCAACGCTCCCAGGGATGATACAGTAGAGAGGACCGACAGCACCTCTGAGGTGCAAACGCGAACTGGCAATTCCTTACAACCCGGCTGCATCACTCGAGAGCCTTGCGGAGCATGGCTTGAACTCGCTCAGCTGGATCCGCGAAAGCTTGGACACCAACAGAGCGTAGGGGTATGTCCTGGGCTTTAGACAGGGCAACCTAAACAGGCCCATTACGAGCTCATTCGTCCTGTTGGGAAGTGTGCTCGTCTGAGAAGGCCACGTCAGGGACAGCACGGGTCAGAGGGTTTTGGGCAGCTGGAAGCTTTTCTAGGTTGCAGAAGGTGCTCGTGGCAGTGGTGACGGCCAAAGCTTTCCAGTAGGCCTGAGTCAAGCAACATTCGGATTACATACGTCCTCAAGTCAGCCGCACAGGTCGCGGGCGACCAAACAAAACAACGGAAAACCTTGCCAAACGTTGGGCTGGAGGCAGTCCGTGTCATGCGCTGGCGAGTGAATGCGCCAAGGGCATGCTCGCTGCTCGGCTTTGCCCCAGAGGGGCAAGGAGGACCCAGCAGCACTCCCTCAGCGTTGCATCAGAAACATTCCAAAAGTCTTTAGACAGTTTGATGCCGTGCAGCTGCTGAGATGTATTCATCCCTGCTGGTTCATACGCAGCTATGCTTCAGCCTCAGTACTGTAGCCCCTGCTTCACGTTGAGCACGTTAGGGGCGGCACATGGCTCACCACATGTGGTTAAGCAAAGGATATGATGAAGGAAATCAGCTTCAGAGAGGTTATCGGGACTCGCGAGCCCATGTTTAGGGGTGTCCGGTGTGGGGTGGCGACAGTAGGCTGGAAAAGATGTGCTATGCTTGAGGAACCGCCGGGCCAAACTCTCAGATTATGCTTGCTTTTTTGTAACAAAAGGTTCTATCCACTATCTTGATTTATGGATAGAGTTACTATATCAAGTAGTATAGTATTGCCGTATTATTGGCACCAACGAATCACTCAGGAAACTCTCTCTCTTGCTCTCTCTCTCCAGTTTTTGGAAGGCATGCTGCCCCAATCTGACTGCAAACCGATTGCAGTTGAGCAACCCTAGGCTCTGAACCTAAACAACTAATCGTCTGCTCTCATTGCAGCTGCTCACTGACAACTTTGGGCCAGGAGACTGCGCGAAGCGAAACATGCTGAGAAAGCACACATGCATGTGCCATGTTCCTAGAGGCCCCATACACGTAGGTTTGACGTATGTAGGTCTGTTGGTATGTAAGTATTGGTTATAAAGGCAAATACACGAAGGAGCGAGTACAAAACTACAAAACATAGTCAAACAAGTTAAAACAAGTGCGTACCTGTAGATGTACTCTCTCACTCTCACTCTCTCGCTCTCGCTCGCTCTCTTTCTCTCTCTCTCTCTCTCTCTCTTGCTTGCTTGCTTGCTTGCACGGCGTGTGGGAGGGTAGGGGCAGCCCCTACACCCCCTGCGCGCGAGCGCTACGCCACTGTTCGTGTTCGGTGTGAGACCTTGAGACGCGGTCAGGCCAGGTGGAGTTCCCGTACAACAACACATGACCCCTAGTCACGACCCAAAGTGCAACACTGTAGCCCCCGCCTGGCCGTGCTCGCGTGTGTTGGTGCAGGCGTTCCGTAGGTTTTCTACGGCTCCTCTGCTTGTGTCCCCGAGCTGTTTCTACACGATTTCAGTACACACACACTACTCAAGTAGATCTCGCTCAAGTACCGTGCAGTTACAATGTAGAACATCGTCAGCTCTGGAAGGTGCTTCTAGCTTCCTTGCTAGTTCTGATGCTGGTTTGGTGGAGCCTATGTTGCTTGTGTCAGTGCGGGTCCCCTGCTCTCTCTCTCTCTCTCTCTCTCTCTCTCTCTCTCTCTCTCTCCGGTAACCTACCAGTAAGTATCTAGAAAAGCCTCACTGCTGTGGGGTAGGATGTCGAAACCGGTGCTGCATGGGTGCATGCTGACTTCCTCACCGGACTTTGTGGAAGGCCTCCGATTGAAATAAATATCGCGGCCCGGGATCCGACTTCGGGATCTAATGGATGGAGATCCTTTAAGGGAACTCTGAATCCTGCATGGTCTAGATAGTGAAGCTCAGCAGTTCGAGTTTCAATCGCTCGCGGCTTAGCAAGTCCACGACGAGGTTCAGCGTGCAACGAAGTATAAACCCACAACTTCCCAAACTTAGCGGTGAATCGGTCAAGTTTCGGCCTTCACATGCAGCTAGGCCACAAAGTCGCTTTCAGGATCCAGGTAAGAAGCACTGCTTACTACATATCGGGGGGTACCACATGCCGGGTATTTTGTAGTACATATGAAGGAACCCAAAGAAATATTACAGTGTTCGCAGTTACTCAAACCTTTCAAGTAGAACCTCGGAAACTTCAGCTGCGCAAACACCACAAACGAGTCCCTACACGAGCCCACCACCTCCACCTCCACCCACACGGGCCGCTGAACGTTCCCGCGGATCCTCGGTCGTGACCAAGAAAAGCTTCTCAGCTCCAGTTGCGAAAGAAGCGTATGGACAGTTGATGACAGCCAAAACAATCTTCGGGAGATTAACTATTGAAAGCTTTTTCTATCCATCGGATCCAATGGGTTGATGCAACAATCAAGGGACAGGGCGCGGACTCGAGAGTATCCCCGCATGTGTCCTCAAGACAAAACCCTCTGCGTTCCTCCTTCGCGTTTCCTTACCGGTCTAGCAAGAGATCGGGGCATCAAACGAGGCGCAGCGGGGTGTAAAGCCATACTTCGGGGTCACAAAAGCGAAACGCGGGACGTCGTAATGGATGCTTTTGTCAGGAAGCAAACGGTTGGTGCTGTACTGTAGGACTCTCAGTTCAACGGAATCCACTCTATCCTGCCTACCTGAAGGACCCCCCTTTCCGAAACTTTGCCTGAAGGCCTCGAGGCCCACACCGAGGGAAGGACAAACAACCTTCGGCCTGCCAAGCAGGTTTGGGGGTCCACAGAATCAAAAACGAAAAGAGAGAGAGGCTGAGGGAGGGGCAAAGAGATAGCTAGCTGGGTACATGTAGCTGTTCATCCAAGCAAAGGCTGTCTCTCCCTGCCACTGCTCCCGGTACCCCCTCGCGCCCGCGAATTGGCCCTCCTCCTCCTCCTCCTCCTCCTCCCCCCTTCGCCTCGTCTTCCTCCTCCGCGTTTTACTTCAACCCGCCGGTACCACCGGCCCTGCTACTTGTAGTATTGCAAATGTCTCTGCTGGAGCAGGAAAAACCTCATAAGCAATGAGCGTCAAAATCTGTTCAACCTTCTAAGATTCTAAGACAGTTGTGCAGTGGTCCGCCATGGGCACAGTGGAAGGAATGGCCGCAAACAAACAAAGAGAGCGAGAGAGAGACCATAAGTGAGTAAGTAGGTGAGAAAGAAAGAGAGAGACAGAGAGAGAGAGAGAGAGAGAGAGAGAGAGAGCGAGCGAGGGAGAGAGCGAGCGAGAGAGCGAGGGAGGGAGAGAGCGAGGGAGAGAGCGAAAGAAAGCGATTACGTCGCGCATGTGAACGCAGAAAACCACCCAAAGTAGAACCCAGCAAACCACGGCAGCAAATCGAGCACATGTTTCAGGGCACGCAATCCGAGAACTGCGACAGTACTGGCACCAAGCGGTCGCATAGCGTTCAGACAATATACAGATAGGCTGAAAAAGTATTATCAAGTCCTCGGTTCGCATGTTGATGGTTGCGTGTACAGTGTAGAGGTTCAACACGCTCCCAGGACCTGCCAATCCTTGTCGTCGCTGAAGGAGATGATGCGCGGGTTCACGAAAACCTGGATATGCTATTGGCATGCTTCCTCCTGGAGCCTTTCAATCACAAATCCTTCACATCCTCCTGATGCGGCAGTGCCCCGATGGATAACAAGGCTATGCTAAAGTTTGAGGAAGGTGCACCCCCACAGGACGGCGGAATGTCAAGTCACTTAAGCACTCGTCTCCGCAAGGTCTGCAAGACACAAGCTTCTCACAGCATCACCACCTTAGAGGCGAATCATTCTTGGAACACGACCGTCTCCTCATCCCGCGTTCGGGGATCTGGATTGTAAACCATCACACGAAGATTGACGCCCACCTGTCAGCAGTAACCAACGCAAGCAGGACATAATGCAAGACGCACGCATCAAGCATTCTGCCGTTCAGAGCCATTTATGAATACACTGAAAACAACCTGCCTGGACAGGACCCCTTAATGCCGGATAACTGGTTGGTGTCGAGCGATTCAGAACGGCTGTTACACGCTGCTTTTTGGCAAACCTTAACCTTAACGGTCCACACACAGAGCTCGCCAAAAAAAACATAAGAAAACCGAAACAATCTCAGCGTCAGCCGCCCCAAAGTGCACTCTTTGCATCGCATCCCGGCTCAAATACACTTCCCCCTGCAGCTGTCACGGCAGTCGGAAAGGTTCACCGAATTGTAGGTCAAGACCGGTGTGCAAACAAAGCTACTGCTTCGAAAACGGGCCGTGCCTGAGGTGCGGCCAAGCCTATTCCATCACCTGCCACGAACAGCATCATCTCGAATGCCAAAACCCAGCATCAACCTGACTTGTCACTGTCATCTACATCGCACCATCTACGGCTACGAAGGCCACGAATGCCAGCTACAGCTACGAGCGGCTCCCTGCTGAAACTACGCAAATTACCCCTTGTTTACGGCATCATTAAGTGCCTCTACATCTGCGCACGGCTCCGCCACTATTGCTTGTACCAACTGCCGCCTACCAAAATGACGGCCATGACAGCTGTTCAGAAGAGATACTCGCCCTCCTCGTGCTGTTGCTGTTGCTGCTGCTACTGCTACGACTACTACAGCGACAACTACTGCTACCACTACCGTACCACTACCCCAACCCCTACCACTACCACTGCCACTACCACTGCTACTACTACTACGACGACGACTACTACTACTACTGCTGCTGCTACTACTACTACTACTACCACCTACGACGACGACTACTACTACTATCTATAATAATAATAATAATACTAATAATACTAATAATACTAATAATACTAATAATACTAATAATACTAATAATACTAATAATAATACTAATAATAATAATAGTAATAATAATAACAATAATAATAATAATAATTCTACGTCTATTAAACTTCTACTTCTACTTCTGCTAATGGCACCGTGAAACCGTGTACAACTCCTCAGGGAGTTACTTGCCCTCGACACTGGAAAACAGTCAAGGGCCAGGTGTGGAAACTGCAACAGCAGTGCTTACGTTGAAGCACACCGTCCTATCTGCTCTTACAGAGCGGATCAAACTTGATCGAAGCCCTACCTTTGTCATTCTTGACTCTGGTTGTACAAGGGCCATGGGATCCCGCTATGCGGTAAATCGGCTTATCAAGGCCGTTAATCAACATGCTCCAGGCATGATTGAGTTCACATTCTCACCTTCGAACACGAAGTTCTCTCTTGCAGATAGTGAAACAG